TTGGATCACATGCATGACAATTTTTTTGCATCTTATGAAATGTTTTATGAAAACATGTTTTGTGTTTTTGCAAGACCTAATGTGGTTTTGGTAATCGAAATGTGCCACGAAATAAAGCTTACTCATGAAAAGTAATTTTTTTTTATTTAATAGAACCCTTACGACTACTTGTAAAAATAACTTCGACGTCATCACCTTTGCACGTTTCACTCAGAGGGTAGTGAATCGGCACGTAGGCAGCATCAAATATTTGAAATAGTATTTATTTCTGTATTACAAAAAATGCCGTTTTATCTGGGCTATATGCAATTAGTTAAACTGTTTAAAACCTTTGTTCGGTCCAATGTTTTTTTTTCTACAACGAAAATTGCTGGGAACAAGGTCACGTCCTCAAAGTGAACTGTAAACTAAAATTGCCACCTATCATGAAATTGAAAGCGAAGATCGGTTCAAAAAATTAGCATTGGCATTATATACTTTATAATTTGAAACCGGGGAGAGAGTACGGCCAGGTAATATATACGGCCCGTAAATATTTTTAGAAATTTTACAATACACTAAACTTTTATTGATATCAAAATGCTAAATAAAACCGAAACTATTAGAAATGAACCAAGTATTGATAAAATCTGTTTGAACACACCTATGCAATATATCCTATAATAGCAAAAGATTTCACGCGAATATTGTAAATAATTGGCTGAAACGGATATGAAAAAGATTTAAATTGCACAAATCGATAGTAATTGTGGAACATCGCGTCATTTCATCGAACTCGTTTCGAGGGAAAGGCATATAAATTGAATAGCGATGGATTGGAACTGTATCCATTCTATGTGTAATCATTTTCTACTTTGGGCGTGGTAATATATATTACGCGACGCGTGCTATCACAAGATAGAGAAATTTGGGTTGAAAAATACGTATATGAGATTCTTCAATTTTTTAGTCATTTGAATAAACAATACAAACCTGCTTAACAAAGAATGTCAATAACATTTTTCAAATATTCTCATTTCGGGTTTATGTTTCTCTCTAGAAACTATTCAATTATCTTCTAAAAAATTTCTCCATCCTATTCACTATAAAATACTTTGCATCGTGACGCCACTGTCGTGAATGCCATTGTCTTTGGTTGATATTCCCGATCTGAATAAACAATGACGTTTAAATTTAAAAACATGACAAGGTAAATGAAAATGATGCAATACCATTCCTTTCATCTACTTAAAGGCTTTTATCTAGATATGGTCACCTTTTTCCAATTTTGTGACGTACGCGCTATGAATACCTGGATAAAAAATGTATGTCGAGTTCAAAAGCGCGATTACAAACCACATTTCCGGTAATGTTATGAAATGAGAATCAGTTTTAAAGTCATCTAACTGAAACAACATTTTTAGAGAAAAATAATAACGATGAATGACGAATTTTCGTAAGATGATAGGTGATTATAGATGCTATATAAACTGTATTTATAGTCAGCCTACACTTTCATCACGTAAAAAGTGTCTCGAATTCCTGACTTCCATCTCCTCGTGTCGAGGCAACAATTTACGTTTCTCTGGGATGAGTTCATGATACCTATGTACTTGAGGAGAATATATCAACTATTTTACAGCAATTACGTTGTATAATAAAATTTTCTGCGGCATTCGTACATGAAAATGGTAAAATTACGGGAAAAGGTGTAGTCTGGGGCGACTTTTAAGTACACTAAACTCGGACGTCATATTTCTTCCTTAATGATAATCTATGACGTATTTTATTGGATTAGTGGTTAGGTTATGTTTTATCATAAAAGGTCATCCAATCATTTAGTGTAGATTGTGAATGCCAAACTGTGGCGGCTACACATTGCTAAATCAAAGGTATTTGAGTTTCAAACATTTCAACATTTACGATAAAACCTTATGTCGTACACGGACATTATTTGTTTCATTGGCGCCGTGTTCCTATAAAATAACTATATTGTCCTCAATTTGTACTGCGGGACTTGATAGTTACGAAACACAACCATTGACTGGTATTGTCATATTTTAGGTTACACATTTCACAAAAACCTGGGGAATACAGTATTGGCTGTTGCATCATCAAAGTGACTTTCCACTTTGGAGGAGTAGACAGACGGCTATATTTAAATTATTCAAAGCCCATAATTTTGTGGGTGGTTAGAGTTAATTACCCGTAAAAATAATATAATGGACACAAAGTTTCACCATCGGGTGTGTGGGTGGGACGGGTAATCGCCAGCCACACGTGGGTCAGAACTCTTTTGTAACAAGTGTGGACTGTCGAAGAAAATTTCAACTTTGCGACATACATTATACAAATTATTACACTACTAATACGTATATGAAACACGAAGTGCAGGTGTCAAATTTTTTGGTAATATCATAATGCATTAGAATTTACGGTGTCTGTAACAACATAATCTTGCCTCAAGTTGAAGGGGTAACTTGAGATACTAATGAAATTGTAGTTGCTTCATACCCACTAATAATCAAAGTCGTATAAGTAGACAACAGATTCATTATTGAATTTTATTCAAAAATGAGAATGCCCATGCTCAAGTACCTTTTATAATGTTGTGTTGTCCTGGAGACCTCATTTCGGCAATTTTTTTTTTAAATAGTTACTGAAAAGGTATTAATATCGAAAATTTATGCTTTATGCTCACGTTAACTAAAGGTATGTATTATATGATTTTAAATTTATTTTTTTCAAGTTTCAATCATTGGGCTCTCATTCTGTGGGTGGGGTGAATGACATCACGTATGTTTCAGTCATTCACAAAGAGTGCAAAGTCCGTGACCCCAAAATCATATTATGCCACGACTCTCAAAAAAAACAGTCTTTTAATTAAAGAGAAATAGTTCATAGTAGACGTTGAATAATGGGTCAATTCTCAACTGGTAGAACAAAAATAGACGAAACTAGCTGAATATATTTATCTTGCAATTGCTGTGATGGAAAACCATCTCACTCGCTTCTTTACGATCAAACTTGATGCCCGTATTTAAATTCTTCACAGTCACTGACTTTTGATGGATAATGAAGTAAATTGAATTGTGGGTGGTCTTCACTGCTAATATCTACCCTATCACATGCCCAATAAAATCACATCGCAATTCTATAAGCAATTCAGTAGTTTTCGGTCTTTTTCGGTTTCTCGTTCTGTTTGGGTAGACCTTTCAGCAAATAAATGAGGACAATTCTGCATCCGTAGATTGATATATTTTCTTTTATTGAAAATACCCGTCATCTATCAAACAAAACAATATTTGAATTGTGTGTATTGCTCAGAGTATGTCTTTGAAATTCGATGACTATGGTCTAACAGACGGAAATCAGTCATTGTAAAATACTTGATAATCCCAAGCACTAGCGCGTTGAATAATCTTCTTTGTAGACGATGACAAAACTTGTAGAATCCTTGAATCTGCAAACCACAGACTACGTCTATGTGCGTCAACGTTTTGTAGTCTTTGAGTAATCGATAATAGATCTTGGCATTACTTGAATGCGCGTATTGTGGGGTAGGGTTCACGACCACTCGATCAAGTAGGTGACTATTTTTCCCGAATGGCGTCGAAATCACAATTTGATGAGACAGACCTTCTTGACCTTCAGCTGCTGAACAAGTATTTAAAAATCATTCTGAAACAGGTGAACACCGGAAATATTATTGATATCTATAGATTGTAAATCATCTTAATGCACAGGTTGGCTCTCTAATATTATTCATCACTATTATTTCATTTTCTCTTTGTGTAGTTTGCAAGTTTCAGTTTCAAAAAGGTGCAAATGACTCATATTCGAAACAAATTTTATTATCCTGGTAAAACAGGTGAATGTATACATTTTTTGCTTGTTAGCAACTTTTTATTTCGTTCTACTCTTCCTCAAAATCGCAGTTTTGTATTTGAAAATAAAATAACAGAAATATCATACTATTAATTTGAACGGAAAAAAGTAAAATGCGTGAATGGTACATTTCCCGATTTTTCGGTGATATCAGCGGCAACATTGAGTCGCTCAACGCATCGTTTACCGTCTATTCCATTATTTGAGGACCGGCTTCACAAGGTCGAAATAACACATTTTCTGCGTTGCTCATGTTTACTTTAAACACGTGCTTTCGGCATCGAATAAAGGCTATGCCGGGATTAGTTTGCGTAGTCATTAGAATATTTCTATATAAATATTTGATAGCTGGGAATTTTTTTACCACCAACGATTGAACACATTTCCGACAATATTTTTTATATCGTCTTTCACTAATGGCAAACAAACATTACACTCTAATCTGATACGTGGCTATGTCGTAAGTCGCTGGTGCAACTCGAGACTGTTTCAGAATTCCTTCTTGTAAGTGCTTTAGAGACAATTTGTGTTGTAGTCAGGCAGTTCCGCGATTACATCACTTTTCGAACACATACATTACCGTCCCATTTGACTCTTCATGACGCGTTAAATTTTTATTGCTACTCATAAAACCAACAGAATATCATAAAACAAACCTAGAATACTATCAAAATAAATTATTGAGCCGATTGCGTAAATTTTAAACATTCATTACAGCAATCAATACACATTCACCGTTTAGACAAGTTTTCATGTTACGATTTTCGTGGTCTTTATTCTATAACAGTTTATTCTTGTTGTTGTTTTTGAAAGTTATTGAAGTAAGAAAAAGTTATTGAAGTAAATTGAAAAATAACACACTTCTATCAAATAGAAATTGCTTCATAAATATTCTCAGAGTTTTCGATTCATATAAAGTAAACCATGTATGTTTTTAGCGAGGGTGTTTTGAGAGATTGCGTGGAATACGGAGCTTTTGGAAAATGTGTTTTTCTTTCATTTGTTATCTGAGAATGTTGGCACTATACACAACACGTGATGCAATGTTCATTTATAATAACTACGATCTTCCAATTATTGTGTCGACATAGCAGGGTGACTTAGCAAAAATATTCTTATTTCGATTCTGGCAAATTCGGAATATAAAAATAAACTAGTAATTTTTGAAATGAATGTCTTTTATCCATGACATTCTTGACACTCTAGAACAGGTTGGTAAACACTTGAGTTGTTCCGGAATTAGGACGCTGGGCTATTTTGCGCTACTTCACCTTATTGTAAGTAATATGGTGTAGAAAAATACAACATAAATTCGTAAATAAATAAGTAACAACTTAATAAAACACCTTGCAGGTGCAATGAATCATTCAGTATTTCATACTGCATTTCACTTTGAAAGTAAAGTTACGCAAAGTTTACGTAATCGTCACCCATAAAATATGATCTTACGCTACGCTATTATCGGATGTGAGAAGGAGAAAAGGGGCACGCATCCACGCTCATAATAGCCCAAAAGAGGGTATCTGAGCATTTCAGCGCACTCAGTTTTATGACGTAGTACACCCGCGCCTTCTTTCTACTATTGTTCTCGGAAACCGCCGAGGATCTATGTGTACATTATAAGCGCTAAACTTTCGCAAATCAGTATAGTATTAGTGCCGACATCGCATCGAAGACATAATCAACCGTTTCAAAAAATATTATATTTTTGAGTTTTCACTCAAATAATGTACAACGTTATAGTGCTCTCACTGTTCTTTCAAGCGGCAATCGCAGTCAGCAGAGATAGCTGTACTTCCTCTAGAACTATTGCAAGATACGTGAATGAAATCCAAACCTTGGGGGCAGATGATATACTTTTAGAAGGGAAATACGTATCAATGTCCGATGAAAAATTCAGGTAAATATACTATTGGCAATTGTTACTAAACTTTTATTATTCTGTCCTTTAAAGGTAAAATTTGCTTGTGCACATTCGTGATTTCGTGTGACTTAACAAGTGAGGTAAGAAATCAAATAAATAGACTTTGGGATTTCATCTGCACGGGAATGTTTCCTGATTTCAATTACAAAAAAAAATAATATTTAATTCAATGGGCATTTACAATTATAATTAATTTCAAATCGCGTTTTATCCGTTTGCTACACAATTTTTATCTTCAAAATCATTATTCATCAAGTATTTTATTCAAGTAAATATATGAAACGATATAAATAAAAGCGCCGGTAACTCGGCCCTCATAGGGCAAGCATCATAACAAATATATAAAAGATAAGAAAGTATCGTTAGCTACCAAAAATATCCCTTACACAATGTCGTTTCATTTAAACTAGCCCATGGAATTTACATTGGTGGATATTATGTGTAACGAAGGTGTAGACGTACAACTTACGAGTTTGTGATATAGGGGGTGTTCTCTCTACCTGACTCCCAAATAGAGATGGTGCATTTATTCAAGTAGTACAATCACGTAACACTCTAGTAATTTGAACCAAATCTCGAATCTATAAAATATGATCGTTATCTCTATTGAAATGTTTGCGTTTCCAAAATGTCATCAAACTTAATGACAACGTCTTTTTGGACTGGCGGCTGTTAATATTTACTTAATTCCCACATTACGTCAAATAAGAATATATACCTATTTGAGGTATAATTAGAATTTATTTACATTCATTTAAAACCGGATAAATAAAATTGTGCAAGCTAGGAGGATAACGATGCATTTTATTTTACTCTACATAACGAAAGCGACCTATAGGGTACAAAATTTAATTTTGGAATATCTAATTTTCTGATTGTATATTAAGTGTTGCCTTATATTGGTTTGGTCTGACAAAATCATCATACGTTTGTCATGAACTTCTAACCTAGGGTTCAAAATGTTTGAAGTTATTTGACATAATGACTTGGTAACTGAAGGGGGTGTAATGGATGCAACTCGGAGGGGGTACAAAGGCATACATACATACGATCGTGATAATTGAAGATTTTTGATCGACATGAGTTATATTCAGAAACAATATTCTACCCTGATTAGTAATTATATTGATCGCATACTCCTGGTATTCAGATTCAAAGTTTTATCCGATTAAAATTGAATTGAAAGCCCATGGGAAATTCACTAGGTGTCAACAACAAGTAGCAATGAAATTATATGCAAAGTCTCGCCAAATAAATAAAAATTATTCATAAAAATTGCGATAACGACAAGATGAAATAGAAATATCGACGGAACCCATCAAATGATGAATCAGAGGTTAGTCGATGATCAATCCGTCGGGGTGATTATCTAACATGTGTAACACGCTATAAATTTTATGACGCACCGTGACCCATCTCCCAAATAGTGCTAATTGTTTTATTGCTTAGATTTCATCTCGTTTTTCTGAAAACATTTTTCTTTTTAAAATTTCACGATACATTGTATTCAATACATGCTAATGTCAAGTATACTTTCTAAGGAGTGAACTTTCCAATGTCCAATATCATAGATGTGTTTGATATTCATAAATAACGTATTTTGAAATTGTCGTCAAGCGTGACTTCAAACGTGCCTCATCTTTTAATGTTGAATAAGACGGCTTTCTATTATAAGAAATAGCTGAAACCAATTTTATAATATGTGGTGAGACGTTCTTTAATCGTGCAGAGAAAACAGTCGTTAACGGTTCTTGCGTCTATATTTGCAATATCTGATCACGATTATCTTTTTATGTTAGATTCACTGTCACTCACACTTGGACCATTCATCATGGTGGATTGAAAGATGGGGCCGCTTTGTATGTAAACAAGAATGCTGATATGAAAGAATGTTTTGACGAACTTACATTTAAAGAAAAATACATGCTCCTGTTACAAAAAACTGGCGAGCCTAACTTATTTAATGCCAAACTCGCCCCCCTTTCTCTTAAAAAGCGAGGACATCGAGAACAACTTTGGGACATGATGTGCGAATTACCGGAAAATAATTGCAGCATGACGATATCAAGTGATGTTTTGCCACCTGTTATCCAGCTTTTTCCAGAAATGAATTCTTTTTTGAGATGCAGAGTAAAATCTAGATCGCGTATCACCGAGATTCGTTGGCTGAAAGACAGCGTTGACATCGAAGAAGAGGGCGGTGAAGTTTATGCAGCAAATGGAGTTTTTGTACGAGGCCCAAGCTTACGATCAGGTACAAGCGATCTTGTTGTCTTTCACGCGCATAGAATGCATTCGGGAATTTACTCATGCGTGGCGAAAAACGCTGGAGGAGAAACGGTGCAGCTAAAAACTCGTCTTGCTGTTGGCTCTTTATCAGAAGCCTTCGAACCGTGTCCTTCCTCTGCTGCCCATTATTGTCAACATGGCGCAAAATGCAATGCCGTGAGAGGATTTCCAAATGAAATATTTTGTGAATGCAAGCCTGGATACAAGGGAGCTAGATGTGGAGACGCAACAGTGCCTGATGTCGAGGCAGTTTCAAGTAACGAGAAAGCGCTCCACAAACAAGTTTATGAACTGAGAATAGCTCTCGTTGCAGTAATATCTGCCCTCGTTGTTGCAACTCTCGTATGCACTATTGTAGTAATTGCATTTGTTCGATTTCGTAGGAAGAAAAGTTACAATTCGACAACATGTAGTTCCCAACTAGAAACGGAAAATGGAGAAATTACGCCATTAAAAGTCAATTCTGATTTAAATATTTCCCCGGAAAAAACAAACAAAGTAATCTTAAACTACGAAATGAATGGCGATAACGGTTCAATACGTAGTCAGCGACAAAGGTTCAAAAGCCTAAATTTTTCGGACAGAGAACTTAAAATGAATGGACATAACAGCCCACAGATTTAATCCGAAACATAATATTCCTTTGGAATACAATGAAAAAATTTGACAGATTTTGACGGAGAGAAAAAGTAGAATTATGTGCCAGAAAAGTGGAGAATTTACTATACTTGTTTTTTAAAATATGCGTTTCAGAGAATTGTCCTAACTGATTTAGACTAAATGAGTAGAATTAAAAAAAAAACGTTTTAGGTTCACTCGAAATACAGCGCCTCCTGACGTATTTGCTGCTATTGGACTTTTTATTTTTGTTTGCTACTGTTTAATATATTGTTATTTATTTATTTATATAAGTTATGCTTCATGCGTTTATGGTATTATACGGATCATCTCTTGGACAAGAGAGCGATTTGGAAATGCTTATACCTTCTGAAAACATTTTGGTTAAGCGGTTTCTACGTTATCTTAACAATGTAAGAAGGCGAAAACTTGCAAGGAAATTACCATGACCAGTTAGAAGATTATACATAACATCAATGTTGTTTTGGATTTTGTGTGATTTTTTTGTCTAATTTTTGAAGATAACGGAACGACATATTCGACCGAGAAGATCGAAATCCACTGTAAATCTAGCCCATACGCCGGTGTAGAACACAGTTATATGACATGATGACTTACGTATGGCTAAATATATTATTCATTTCTATCTCTAATAAATAATAACTCCAAGTAACTAATTTATTTCAAGTGTCTGACATATTTACGTTGCCATTATAAAGATTATTACGTTGACAGGAGAAGATCCGTTTTTCTTATTTTGTCTCAAAATATTTTTAATAAATTACAATAGATCATAATACGTGGTCATTTGATATTCGCTGAAAAGTCCAGTCGACGGCACACGTGCGGGATGAGTTAGGTACACAAAGCGATAAGGTATAGCTAAATAATTAATTTTGAAAAAAATTGTACATTACAAATAAAAAATTCTCTAAATTCTCCGCGGACTGTTGTTGAAGTCATGTGACAATGAGAAAAGTTTTTGTAGTCCGTTTCACTCTCGGTTACTCGACCCAGTATCGTACCATATCAACTTGATCTTGTTCAACGGTTAAGTCCAAAAATTGATGGCTTTGGGAAAAAGAATTTCTACTTTTGAAAGAGGGCTACATTTAGTTATTTTCGTTGTTGGGAATTTATACCAAATTGACAATGCGTAACACATTGAGAACCACCTGGGGGTTCGTGGCATTTGGAAGGCTGGGAATCACTCGGGTTCAGCACCAGGTTTCGACTTAATTACACGGGAGCCAACCAAAGCCAAAGCAAAGCAGTCGCCTACCTCGCCGTACCCAGACTACTGTACGGTAAGCGAAAAGAGAATCACCTAGAGCCCACAAAACGTATTGAAATAAATAAAAGTAATAGCCACATAGCGAAAATTACAATCCTAAACCACTAAATTTCATAGCAATTGGTCGAGTAGCTAATGAGTAAAGTGATTTTTCACAAGAAAAATACCAACAACATAATATCGAAACGATCCATATGTACATTTCGTGCCAAATGAGTAAATACAGATAGATATACTTCAAACGCAAATCGATTTTAAATACCCATGACAAGCTAGCTTTTACGTTTCAAGATAGATCATACAATTTGGCGGTTGCCGCTTAGGGGGAATACGTATGTCATCGGGGAACTGGCTGCCCCATCATTTTCTACAGATTTCTTGTATTTCTCGACACCACTGAGCGGATGACATACCCGCTGGTACCTATAATATTCATAATTTAATGAAACAAAGAATAGTCATTAGTCACTATTCCGGTATTTATACTTAACCTAGTATGAATTGTATTACATCATAATATGCATTTCAATGCATGACTATATAACCTCATGACCAGGGATTACAATTTCAGGACAAACACTTTGACCGTTAACCGCAGCGTGGCGTTTGACGTAATAAGTTATAATTTGATCTTGTTACGTCCCAATCATTCCAAAGCAATTTCTCGCGATCTTATCCTGGTCGACGCTATCCAGGAATCGAGAGATATGCAGCGTATATTTATGGGACTAAACTTTCACTGTTTGATGCATTGAGATATCATAAATAAAAACGACGCTCTGATAACCCTAACCTGATACACATACTATGTTCAGGTAGTGCGCCATCGAATCGATTTTGCGATTAAAACTATGGGCAATACATTCTGAAGGGTAACCGATTCTGAACTTATCGTTTTATTCAATTTTCATAATAAGCAATACTGGTCTTGAATTATTTTCTACTTTTTTTGAAGAAATTGTGGTACTCCTGTGGTATGTGAACCAATATGGCGGACACCGGAATGTAGATGTGTACCAGTTTAGGCTATAATTTCAGGTCCAAATACTACGGGTGTCATTTGGATAGTCCCCGAACTCGTAATAGAACTAAAATAAGGACAATTGGAATAAAATGACGGCCTAACCCCAACCAGGTACACGTGCTATATTCCGGTGTCAGCCATCTTGGTTCGCATAATACGGCCCATACGGGAGCGCTTAAATTGTTAAGTACAAAGGTGATTTGTACCAGAGATGTCAGTTAGCGGTCAAAATAAACCTTAATCGTTAACCATCTAAGGTTAACTATCCCCAGCCCTACTCATGTCAGTACTTTTTGGTCACATTTGATAGCAATTAGAAATAAATTTTACAAATTTAAAAAAAAATGTGTTGTTTCTATGTAGCAGTGTTATCATGATTGCAAATGATGATGATCGCAAAACGACTAGACAACTACTAACTCTTCCCTGCCCACAACGATTTAAAGACAAATGGCACATGACAACAAATTATGATTTGAAAATACAGCAGTAGAATAATATATTATAGTAATGCCAGTGATATAATTAGTTGAATAATTATAAATATTTCTCTCTGGTGCTTCATGCACGAGTCTTTCGTAAAGAACAAAAACAGAACACTTTGTCGAACCTTAGAGGAGGCACTGAAGAAGATTTACTACCGAATATTGAAATATTGTGTCCTAAAAGTAAATACATACAACAAAAAATATCAGGAATCGAATATGTAGAAATAGTTAGTTCTTACCAGCTGTGCATATTTAAGTATGAATTGAAGTACTCGCCAATACACTGGTAACCGAGAAAAGCAAATTTGTTAATAAACGACCCATAATATCATGAAATAATCGACTCCAATGGCAAATGATGAATTAGATACAAATCAAAATCATTCTTGCTGTGATATGCAAATCTGAATAAGTTGAAGTACGTGCAATTCTTTGGATTACGAACACACTTGAATTTAATAAACAGCATAAAACAAGTTGTGTGAACTTCAGAAAGTCATGTGGGTATATTTGGACACTATAGATACAAAATTGTCACCTCACAAAGATTCATCTAATAAATGGACCATACTAGTGTTAATCATAGGGAAGTGGCTTTGTTCATTTTCACAGAGAAGAAAGTAAACTATATATTGATATATGGGGACATACACTTGTAAAAAAGAATTTATAAAGGACAATTAAGATATACTCATATGTCCAAATAGTCGATATTCCGATTCACACTTGAAGAAGACATAAAATCGCAGACAGTGGAGTGCTGTCGAAGAATATTAGTTATATCAAATTAGTCATAATATAAGGACAGTGGACTTGACTCGGACAACATGACATGACATTTTTTTTTTGCATAGAAATAATAAGTTTCATTGATTTCAGGAAATAATTCTTTCAACCTTCTTTTAAAGACTTGTTATCATATGACATCATAATTCCTTCTAAATGAAAATCAAGTACACTGAGAAAAATGAAGATAAATTAAATGATAGTAATAGAATTAGGAAAATAACACGAAAAAACGAACACTGTGCTTGAATACGGAATGACGGATTAATCAAAGGAAAATTGTTATCAGAAGAAAATAAATGCCGGTATGTGAAACTAAGTACAATTAACAATAGAAAGCGAAAAACTGGACCTACACATGTTCTAGAGTCCCTTAGGTTTCCATTTTATGTTGTACAGCTCCAAAATTATGAAAAGTTCTAAAAGGATAGAGTCAGGAATAGAAATGTAAAACGTATTTGAGATAAGTCAGCAAACAAAATTACAATTTCATATCATTTGATGTGGTTTATAATGACTATACTTATAACATATTAAACTACTTATAATAGGTATGAAAATATAAATTGGTACAAATCCCTTAAATATGGACTATATCGAGTAAATATTGGAAAATCTTGAATACCTACAATGGAAATTATGAAGAACTACAAGAGTTGTCCATTTCATTTATGGTCAAATATAAGCATACCAAAGCTTTAATTCAAGGTGGGGAAACTAATCCATTACAATTACCAATATTCTTGTGAATTTGCTAAATGGAGCTGGAAGAAATAATCGATAAATTGCTGAACCTTATGCTCATTCCGAGCAGTTTAGAATAAATCTTTATTTTTTTAAACCATTTCCTTAAAAGTTAGGAATGTAAAAATTGGCATAAATTTTTCACACGGTGACCCAAAAACAAAACCTGGATCATTTTATAGAGAGAATATAACTTTTGCGCAAGAATCCTAGATTACTGGAACTTTTGGGCATAAATATACACATGCAGAAGTTCAAGTGTTAATTGCATGTTCTTCATTTTCGCGGAAGTTTTTAAAAAATTTATGGCTCTGTCATTTGGGGGTCACCCACTACTATATATAATAGTATTTATTTGAAGATGAAAAATTTAACCCATCTGCTGAAAGCAGCCAGCCCCAAACTCAACAAATTTTGTGAACACCTAAATTGGGAACGTAGGTATGGGTGCTGGTGCTCATAATTTATAACAAATAACTTTTGATATACTTTAACAAATGACCATGGTTATTTCATATTTGACAAACACATTCTAGCAAGTAATATAATTGCGCATACTGCAGTGCACTTTTTCTGTTTGGTGAGCAGCGTTTACAAAAAACTTGGAATAAACGGCCATCTACTGCAAAGTATCATGCATAAATTAAACTGCAATTCCCTAATACAAAGAACACAAATTGAAACGTGAAGAAAAGCTAACAACAACAATAATCAATAAATGAAGAATTAGAACAGATAGGAAAAACAAAACTTAGAAGTTAGTGGTGGTTTAGTACAGCAATGATGGATTGTGAGATTTGAATGTTAAGAAAAAAATTACACCTGACGTATAAAGGAGAGGTTTTCAAACGATAACACCATTAGTTTTTGACTAAATCATCTATGTTGGATAATAAGTTGTCTGAAGAACAGTTGTTTGATTATGAGATATGTCAGAAGAGGTTTAATTGGAACAGTGAAATATAGGAATCAATAAGTGCATAATTATAACTTGGGAGTGCTTAATTAATTAGACTCTATGGAAAGATGTCAGATAAATTTCCATTTTTACAGGGGTCATGTAAATTTCATGACATTTCCCTGAACCAAAATAAGAATATATATGAAAAGTATTTACCACTGAATACAATACGGTTACTATTTTATTGGAAGTTGTTTTCACAATTTACGGCTTCATTATTATAGGCCATATTATTATTATATTGATATAAATGAATAAATATAGCAAGTACTTCTTACAATTGCATTTCACTTGAACTGCCTTAAACTCCACAGCTCGAGTGGTTTTATCATTCTCCCCCCCTCTCTCGATGAGGAGTTGGAAACAAACTAATTGGAGAAAATTTTTCAAAATGTCACAATACCATACAAATTGCATACAATTAAATTTTGGAAATACAATAAACAATACCAAACAATAAAAAGAATTGAAGATGATTTGTGAGAATACTATGATCAGAACACATTAAAGATTACTTCATACAAGATAGAACAGTCTCATCCGGTCACAGAAAAACAAATTACTTTGGACTAAATACAATGGTGGCGATGACATACCACGTATATAAGATAGTACCGCATACTAATTTAGATATAGCAGTCTTCTTGGAACCCTTACATGCATATTTCATAAGTACATAAAATTGCAAAAATGAGTGGAATGTGCAAAACGAACCGAAAAAGAAAACAACCACTCAAAAGGTCCTATGACATTGGTGGACATAATTTCAAGACAAAAGTACAAACTGATTTGCTTTTATAATACTCTACTTTTATTGAAAATTAAGTACTTCATTGTACACTATCACACCAACTATGGGTTAGTGATGAATAGCATAAACAAGGTGAAATCTAAAAGAAAACAAGCTTGGCAAAGAATTAACTTGAACATAAGATTGGTTTAATCCAAAGCTGAAATGATTGTAGTACGATAAGTCTATAAGCAAATAAATTGGAACTAGCAATAACTAGCAATTTCAGTAAATTTAAATGAATGCGTTGAATTATTCTTCAGTTGTGAGTGATATTATCATTTTATTTCTTGAATTGTTCGAAGTTCCTGGAATTAATAAAACAAAAAAGGATAATATTACAAAATTTGAATGAAAAATGAATCAAAAACAAGGGTATTCCCCTCTTGAATCACAGCAAAAACCATCTATTGCCAGCATGTTGCGAAAATTTTTACCCCTTACCTCTGTCTGCTTTTTAGTCTATTATTAATATAAATAAAAATACGAACAACAAACAGAAATAAAAGTCCTGATAACCAACTTTCTACACATCAAAAAACTTGGTAATGCTGCTAATGTTACGTATTATAGTTACAATGAAGTGAAAATCATTTACTAAAACGTCAATTGTAAGGTATGTGCCACAGATGAATTGTGTGTCACACTCCATCAATGGCCCATGCTTGATTGTTTCATACAAACCTTTCTTTCATTCTTTCCGTCGTGGTGAAAATTTGTTTTTGAATCTCACATAATTGTCTTTGTATAAGATCATATTGTTTGCTTTTCGGATCCAACATCATTAACTTTTGTTGATAATCCCGACTTGTTCTACGAAGTTCTTCAACGTAATTGTATTTTTCCTCGTCCTCTTTCTAGTTTTTAAAATTGTAAAAATTTTGTCAATTTCATTTTTATACAATATATAAGGAGCTATTTATTATTTAGAGGGATAGAAATCTTCCTAGCTCGGCTTTGCCTACCCGATTCATTACACCCTTGGTGAGGTGGGTGCATGGAACTGAAGGATTCCTTGTGGATTCTAGTAACAACATCAAACATTTTTAAGTGTTCTTAGGTCGTAAATTTTGTTATCTATTCACTAATTTCAAAAAGAAAAAAAAAACCTTAAGAAAAATGGTGCGTTTTGTACCCAAGTTCGAACCAGGAACCCTAACTAGCGTTAGGATAAACACAACACTGCAAAGTAACCTCCAAAAAAAGAGAACCCAGGTCATTAGGAACATATTCTAGAAATATAATACATGTTGTGCAAAGCGTCCTAGATTACTGAAACTTCAGTGTACAAGTTCAAGTGTCGAATAAAGTTAAATTATTAATTTATGGGTTCTGTTTTATATGGTCACCCTGTACAAAACTGAAGTCAAATTTTAAGACACAAAAACAAAGTTATCAAATCCTGAACAATACGAAATACATATTCTAGTACTGAGCACAGCATTCAATCATTCAAATAGCAATCTGCAAATCCGATTTGGTTCTTCTCAATTAAGCAACTGAGCTGGTTGGAGCTCAACCAACAATATCCTTCAAAAATAAACATATTATATAATCAATTACCTTCAAGTTAAGAATATCAATGTGAACTAATAAAGAAGCAAGTTCAATTTCTTCACTGTAGAGATTTTTCAATGGAACTGATCGAAAACCTGAATGTAAAAAGCATATTAAAAGAGAGTACAAAGTAGACATTATTCGGACCTCCTGAAGTATGCGCACCAAGATGGCGCACAACCTGAACTCAGGTTGTGTACCAGGTTACGGTTCAGGTTATGCGACATCTTGGTGCGCATACTTCAGGAGCACCCATTATTCAAATGTTAACTATTTTTAACTACTGAAAATGCCAATAATGACAAAGTTATACAGTGATACCACGGTAGCCGAACAAAATTTTTTCTGGATTGGTGTTCAGTTACCAATTCGTTCGAGTACCGGAACTTATTTTGCCATGAAGAAACAATGGTAATTCTTTTATTTAATTTCTTCAAACATATTCCCAAAAACCCCAAATATTAACAAACATGTACCTAAACCGGTGCACTCGAATTGTTCGAGCACCGAATTTACGTTAGAGTACTTCACAGTAATTTTTCGGTCGACTACCGAATTGTCAGAGTATTAAGTCGTTCGACTGTTGTAGGACTATCACTGTAGTTATATATATTTTTTATATTCTTTACATCCTGAACAAGGCTCTGCACAATCAGCCGCTGCTGGATAAGGAGCTACTATAGTTTGGAAAGACAGGAATCTTTCAATCGGCATTGTCTGCCCTATTTATTCTTTCCTGGGTGAGTTGGTGTGGGATTTGAACCGTAGATTTTGGCATCTGATGCCAACATAGATAAGTCAAACGCTTCAATCACTAAGCCACTGATTGATCTAGTTTAGAATAAGGAAAGGGGTAATGCTGTTACCTGGTTTAATACAAGGTACTGGAACTGTGGACTGAGCAAGAAAATTGGGTTCTCCAAACATATCTTGATCATATACAGTGAATTTCATGAAAGCAAGAGGAGGATTAAGAATTGTAAACTCATAGGATTCTTTGAAGATTGGATTCAGACCATTGTCATCTGCAAAAAAATATGAAGAAGATTGAGCCTTCTCATTGCCTTTCCTCCCTCTGAAGATAAATAGGAAAATTTTATAGTCTCCTATACTAAAATATTTGCACTTTAAAATAAATCTCTCCGAAGTGAATGAAATGGTGGCATTCCCCTATCTACTGACAATTACTATATAAAAATATGAATACTTAGTGTTGCTGGCATGTTGGGAGGACCTTAAACGAAGTCATGACCCAGTTTGTTTCAATAATTGTTTAACCAAAGTCCAAGATAATGTGAACGTACCTTTCTTTGGTGTTTTAACCTTCTGATTGTCAAAATCGCATCCAATAATCTCAATCTCAACAAACGGACAAGCAAGTCCTCGGCCAGATTTCGGCAAATGCCTTGCACCAATAATCTATTAAAAATAAGGGTTTTAAAAATCGTCTTAATGCGTTATGAGATAAATTCAAGCATGTCATGAATATATCAACCAGTCTCCTAAAAAATTACTTCATATCTGCCCTCGTTTAGAACTTAATGATCAAATCTGTCAAAATTGAGATTGAGAAGCAAGTAGGATTAGCTATATCGGTCACTCAGCAATGTTATGATGATTTATGTGAACAAGAAAGCTAACATAACACATTCAATATGAATATACTGAAAAACTTTTCCTCGTCACAACTCAAAACCAAATGATAGTAATGTGAAATTTTCTGTCCAATGTGTCACGATTTGTATTACAGAAAGTAAGTGCGTCAACACAAAATGTCCGGAAAGCACCGTCCTAAATAATGCAACATTACGAACAATATCTTACGTGGTTAGTAGTTCAACGAAACAAGTATTTTTTCAAAGATATTTGCTCAAAGCAAAAAAAGTTCAAAAGAACACAGTCCTTATATAGTATCGAACTAATATGTTCTTAATTAAGATAAAGACTTACTTGAAGATAAATTCTTAAATGATCAGCGAAAGTTGATGTATTTTTCAGAAAAGGATTAAAATCTTTTTCTAGAAAATAATTTGGCTTCGGTACAAAACCACATCTACCATTCTGTTCAAATCTGGCTTCATTCAATTGCATTGCTCTGTCTGTAATAAGAAATTTTATTGCATTTATGACAATGTAAGATATAAAAAGTTCACCAATCAACAGAAAAGACAAATTCAACTTACTATTAGACAGAAAGCTTTATAAGCTTTTAGAAATTTAAAATAGTACATGTGACCCCACCAAAATAACAGAACTAAATTGGAACATTTTCTGGAGCAGGCACCAATTTTGAACAATGCGTTTTAGAATACCAAAACCTTTTGGCTAGAATTGTACTCAAACAGAGTATTAAATAAATTTGAGTATTGAATAAATTGTTTTCATTTTTGGTACAATTGGTAAATCTATGCTTTATAAAAATTTAATTTTAATCTTTTTATCATGAAAATTTGCCCTTTTTCCTTGAAATTATAATTTACATTGAATTTTTAAAAAATTTGCCACAGATCATGTTTTACAGTACTTTTGACACATACCACAAGTCTGAAAGTTCAGCGCCACAAGCTGAGATCCACAATTCCATAAAGGAATTGGATTGTAGTTTGATGAATCCACTCTTGTTCCTTTCGGATAAACTCTGGAAAACTGTTTGTTGTTGTATGAAATAAACATTGCGGCCTTTTCTTTGCAGGAAAACCCTGTAGCCCTCTGTTCAGGAAAAGACGACATCTCCGAGGAAGAACAGGTAACTGTTGAAATAGAATGGTAAATGAAACTAAAATGCCAGTATTCAAAGATCAGGCGGCGCTAATCACAGTAAATGATGTCCTTTTTCTACTACGCTTATTTCACAGCATTTGTGCTCTGACCAAAGCACTGTGCAAGTATCCATTGATACGTAAGGTGATAATATTTTTGAAAGGACCAGAATCCTTCCAGTTTGGAATTGCATACCCAATTTAGTACACCCAGGTTGAGGTGGTGGGCATGGAATTTGAACTTGAGATGTGTAAACTGCGATGATGAACTGCGTCAGTTAAAAGTTGGTATATTTCAAATATATGATAGCTGACATTCATTAACAGATTTTAGCAAGAACAGAAAATTTAGGAATCATTTTCTGGGCAAAAATTTAATAAAATTCAAATTAACATTACTTTTATAGGGACAAAAATTCAAATTATTATTCAATTTTGTATACATCGTAAGCCACTGTATGGTGGATTCAAAATATTCCAAATAGAAATAAACTGATAAAAGTGAAATCAAAGAATAGTATAAGAATTCGGAGGGAGAGGAAAACCATTGATGTGGCTTATTTTGCGAACCACATCCGGTTACTAGTTCACGTCGAGTATGGAAATAGTCAGCCAGTTGTTTGGGATGCACAAACTTGGTGGTGGTGGAAGCTGTAAATGACCAACAGTTACGTGCACCCCCTATGGCGACGAAGAGTACAGCAATGTTCCCGCATATATATATATATATCTCCCACAGGATTCGAACCCACGAAAAAACGTGGGTAATCAAAGGTGCGACGACAAGCATTATTACTTTCGCTATGCATGATGCACCAACCCCCCTCAAACATACGAGCACAAACCTCTGTTTTTATTTTCGTTGAATTGAACAGGTTGGCAATAAACAATCAAATCAGATAATTCAACTGCAATTTGTTTGATCTTTTCTGAATCCTTTTTCATTTTGGCCTAAAAATTAAAATATAAATTTTCCACAATTTTTACGTTTCAAGATCACATGCCTAATAAATATAATACATGCCTTAAAATTATTTTATTCAAATTAACAATTTCTGTATCACTCGAAATATTCCATATTGTTGTACAGTATATTATGGTAACACAGGGTGTTCATAAAATCATGCTACAATTTCACTTTTGGCATGATGTCAGTTCTCAATATATTTTAACCAGGTTCGATTTATCTTTTATATAAAGTGTATTATTTTATCAATGCAAACAGTAATTTTGATAACCTAAATTTCTTAGTTTGCAACATATTAGAATTAAAACCTAACAATTCAAATGCCTTCTTTATATTTTTTGACATTATTAACTGCACCATCATTGGAAGTTTGAAAAAAAAAATAAAAATATAAAAAAAACATAGATTTGATTGTTGTATGTATTTTTTAAGTTTGATTCCATTATAAAATTATACAATATGCTTAAAAGTACAAGTAGGGACAAGAAACTTATACAAACATTGACCAAATGTATTTGCCTCATATAAGATTATTTGAAAGAAATACAATTCGAAATATAGCAACTAATATATTCTAATGTAACACCAGCCAAGTATGGGATAGTGACGGAAAAGTATGAAAATCATATATGGCCTATACATATTAAATAGCAGCTCCTTGAATACCAAATACAAACAATATAAATTCATAAAATGGAATAAGCAATAAACAAACGATAAACACCCTAAAGTTAAACAAAGCATGGACTCCTTGATGCTACTTCCAACCAACCATTAAGATTGGTATTCATGAAAAATCAAAATTCAAAAATATTCAATAAAACCGGCATTATATCGTAAAATGTTTGTATTTCCAATTTTCCATACTAGTAAAATGTTTTCGATGATTATGGTTAATACCTGAGACTCTTTCTTATCAATTGCTGCTTTAATCACATTCATCCAATCCACTAACTCATCTTTTGATTCTGTGGCGAGTTCGAAAGATTTTCCACTATTTGAACCATTAGCACATTTGACTCTGAAGCAATTTCTTTGATGTCCTTTACCTGAAGGCATCAGCTCTGAAGAAATCAAAGAAAGCATTAATATATGGTTATAAATGTACAGTAATGTAAGTATTTATAAGAGTTATAAAGATTATTAGCTGAAGCACTGGTGGAAAACTTAACTTTACTACAGAATGGATCAGGATAAAAAATTGTAAGACAAAATTATTTAACATTGAACTATGAGAATCTCATTTCACATAACATAATACACCAAGCTTTTATTAAAACAGTGGTGTCTAAACTGAGGGGAGACCTAGACAATTTCTAGGAGAAATTTAGACATCCACTGTCTTAACAATTTCTTTTCTTTACGCCATCTATCATCTACTTTGCCTAGGTTTGATTGTTTGATATTGCAGTAAAGATGTCACCCTTTCCAACGAGATTAAATAAGAATGTTGTTCCTGTATTTTTAGATTCTTATGTTGATGTTGCTAGTAAATTTGATTCATTGTGCGCTGGAAATTTTATTGGTTTGAAAAGAGTAATTAAGCTTTTGTTAAATCGTTTTATAAAGATTTGGGAACCACTGTCCAAAGGCAAAGTCAATTGTCGAATTTGTACTAAATACATATCTATAAAACAAAAATATAGACATAAAACAACATATAAAAATGTTTTTAAATGTTTTTGTTTCTTTCTAAAAAACAATAACTAAAAAATAAATGGTCATCAATGTGAAATAAAAATGTTAGAAGCATTATTCTAATATATTCTTTTTATATAAAAAAGTTGACGGTATACGAAAAAACGAGTTATCTATATCTTCTCACCCATGACACAATTTGCTATGTCGATTGATCCTTTCTGTAAATCTCCAAGCAATTTTACAGACTGAAATATAAATATTAATAATATCATGAAATGTAGAACAATTCAGCAATAAAGTTAAATCAAACAAAATATTTAATTTTCAATTTTTTTGAAAAAGATGTTGACATGTTTGGACTGATGACGAAACAGACATCTGGCATAGATTGCAGAGAATGATGAAACAACTCCAATGTTTTGCCAATTTGAATATGATCCACAGTTTGCTTTGGACTAATACCATTACTTCTGATTATTATAACCAGTAGTTTTACATATGACACATTCAAACACCTTTCCCTTGAAACATGGGTCTGCACAAGCATTGACTGATATGTAAGAAGTAAATTTAATCCAGAAGGGTCAGAATCTTTCCGGTTTGGCATTACATACCCACTTCATTACACCTGGGTGTAGTGATGGGGCATGGAATTCGAATCCAACAATTTAACACGCGAGATCATCACATTTATGTCTAACGATTTAATCACTAGGCTTCAAGGAGAACAAAGCAGTTACATTCTAAACAAGATAACTACATTATAATTCATTATTTTTAGCAGAATATTTCTCAAGACGAAATCATAATGTCGTATTGCACATTAAAACATGATTTGCGTGTTTTTAACATGAATTTTTCTGCCAACTCATCTATTATTAAAAAATTTTCTTCTCACACATCAATCCTCTTGCATAATTTATCAGTATACGGATTTTATACTCACCGATATATCAAATTTAATATTAATATAAGAAGTCAATGAATAATAGATATATCTTCAGATTGAGCATTGAGTCTAATAACCTTTCACCTTACAAACTGGAAGCGATCAGGATTGAACAACTTCAAATAACCAGGCGGGACAGTCTCAGGAAGAATTGTGGCACTTTATTTATATGACTCTCAAAACTGAGATATCAGTAAACATATCTTTTAAAACAATGAACACAACCTACATTTTCCGTTGTTGCACTTCCAGTATCGCTTGGTGAAATCCCAGTAACTTCTTCAACATAATTACTTGGAAAGTAAGCTTGTTTCTTAAATCCAAAATCACCTTTCCACCTAAGAATAAAGGGAATTAGAATACAAAATACATAAAATTAACCAATTATAATTCTCAGAGGAATCAAGATGTTTAGAAATAGGCATTCAAATTTAAGATGTTATATAACAAATAGTCGATTTAGTTGAAAAATAGCTGAGAAGCATACCGATTATATGTATCTGACTTCTTTTAAACAACTCACTAACTTACATAAAAAGATATAGGACTAAGATTGTTCACCATATATAAAATAATATTTTGATTAGGATATTCTATACTGCAGGAGTGAGCAAAGTTCTTTTGCATTCGAAATATCTTTTTTGCGAAGACCCGCATAGAGAAATTGACTGTGACATCACAGTTACCATTCCCATTGGCTATAATAGTATCAGATTCATGGTGGCTGACATTGTTGAAACGGAGATGAAAAATGAATTAATGCATTCAATTTTTTTAACAATTCATAGATTAGATATTTTAAATAAAGTTTAAAAAGAAATTTAAGTTTTGTAGTTGTAAGACATTTTCCCACTTTTTCACCAAAGCATTTCGCTGTTTGCCCATCCCTGCTATGCTCATACCTTCTATATTCAATGAATGCAAACCTACCATCCTTCATCCTCTTTTATGACGTTAGTTATAATATCGTTTTTACAAAAAGAAATTTCATCTTCTCTAGTTGGATGATAATCATAAAGGGCTCGAACCTTAATCGACTCCACAACATTTGTCGATCCCTGGAATGAATCATAAATCACCATTATAAAATGCTCAACGAAGAGTCTCAACTCTCAAATACAGAAATATCACTGATAGAAAAGTCGAAAAAGCTCAAAATTATGCGTTAAGATTCACATATGTAGATGTAAAAGACTCACAGAGTAAAAACATTTAACAGCAAGTGAAATTATTTTTTACGACAAATATATCTTACTGAAATATAATAATATCAAATAAAATCCACCTGCAGAGTATTGATAAGTTCAGGAGTGACTGGATGTCTCAAACTGACTCTTTTGAACAGTGGTTTCACTCCATAGAAATCAATAGCTTCACAAAGTGTTTCAAACATAGCATTACCAACATAATATAGGCGTCCATCTTGTTTGATTCTACAGTGTTTGATTTTTTCGCCAGCCCTGTGGAAGTTTATTGAGATGAAAGAAAATATAAAACAATATATTATCATATCCAAAGAGAAGTGGATTACTTCTGCCGATTCTTGACGCTCGTTCAGAAGAGTATATATTTACACAGAGAGTAGCGTTCTCAGAATTTTAATTTATTAATTTCAATCAGTAGATAAGAAATAGTGAGAAATAGAGAGAAAATTGGAAATTTCCCAATGTTGGACATGTTTTTCTGTTGTCGTCATGGAAACGAAACAGCATTCATGACTTTTGGTGACAGGAGAACTGTGAAACAGCTGGACACACAGACAGAATTACTAGGAATAAGGTGAAAGAGAGATTCAATTGTATCAAATTCGAAATTATCGAGAGCATTGTAGCTAAAACAATGTCCGCCAAAATGACTGGCTTGATCTTAATTAAAGTTGTTGAGAATAACATCCATTGAGGAATAACAAGAACTTTGGTAAAACGTACAACAAACCTATGCAGGGCATTTATATCGTTGTATCGAGCTTTCCCACTAAAACTCTAATGCCCTGTTTGTTATTAATAATCAAGTACCCTGTTCAGAGTCTGATGACTAAGATATGCATATTTACCTGAAAGATATTGCATAGCAAGCAGAATGATGCTCATCAAATTTACATTTTCTAACAAGGAAAGCTCCTGTTTTATCAATTTTAGATAAAACTGCTTCAGCAGCTGCCCTGTCGAAATTATCGTAAAACCACCTGAAAAGTAAATATTATAATATGTTCATCAATGTAAATTGTATGTATTAAAATATTATGTTTTGTTATTTTATTAGGCAATCGTGATTAGGTATGTTAAAATGATTTTGCTGAAATTTTAATCCATTTAGTCAGACATGAAGATAATTAATATCAATCCTATGTGATTGTGGATGATATGGAGTTTAACGTAAATACTATTGAAACGTACGCTTTGCTCTCATGAGCATTGGGTTGTGGAACAGGGTCAGTCATCAGCAACTCAAAATGCATTCCCTCATTTCTCAATGGTTGTTGTTGATAATGCCAAACCAAGCTATAAAGACTGTCGAAAAACAATTCCTTGACGATATAATAAAATGTGGAACTACCATTCTTTTGTGCATGGATGATACAGTGCTCAACTCTGTTGTTATACCTAAAAGCATGGAAAGAAGGAATGTTATAAAACAATGGGTATATATTATGTATATTTAGTTTATCTATCTTTGGTCACTAAAGCAATGGTAAAACCCCATTTATCATAATTTTTCTTTCTGCCTAGGTAATGTGAGCTTGCCATGACATAGCCAGGGATGTGCAAATTGAATCGCCGAATATCATGCGATATGTTTATAAGAATATCAAATTTTAAATCATATCGCACATGCAATGCTTTACTAAGATAATATCATTCGAAGCATACCAGTAATTAATATGTTCTTGCATTGATATAAAGTGAATAAAATTGTTTTGTGGGATTTTAGAATGTATTTGAAAAATTACGAATTCGAAAATATTTTCTGAATCTATTCGTAGGTCCAGAAGTCCTGTATTGGAGGTTAGGAAGTCCAGTATTCGGTTATGACAATCCATATACATAACACACAATAAATGACATTCTGATAACTTTTCCCCAAATAGAGAACATTGCTAAACGAGACTAGAACAATTTATGTATTATTTCAACAAACTATATTGGCCATGCAGAATATTAACTGAAATAATTAATGTGTTTAGTTAGTGAATTTCACTTTACGTTCATACTTACATGAATGACAAACAGTAACATCCCTTGAATTTGCTACTATCACGAACAAGAAAACTTCCATCTCTACCACCATAAGACAAGATTAAATTTTCTGCTGTTTCACGTTTAATCATCCCATGATACCATTTTTCATTGTAATGTAGTTCCGTTTTGTCTGTACTTGACTGAAAAAAAAGAATCATTTTCACGGGGCTGGAGAAAGCTCAAAGCGTCAATCACAGCTTCCCAAAATCTTTATGTGCTTAGATTACTCTGTCATAATGCACACTTCCAATATATTTGATGGCTGATCTATATTATTTCTATTATTGTTACAGTTCCAATAGGAATCTGACTCTGAAGTCCTATCCTACCCCAAGCCCATCAACAGCAGTTTGGGATATTTGTCATCTATTATTGGTGAATTACAGGCGCTCCAGAATTATGTGTACCAATATGGATGTAACTAATTTTGTTCACCTACTTTACATCAAGTTGTGTAAAGGGACTGAAGCCTAAGGGCAGAGGGTATATTTACTTGGCTGACACAGACAGTCCCTGAACTCATAATAGAATTTAAATAAAGAAAATTGGAATAAAATTATGGCCTAAACCAAACCTGTTCCACATAGCAAAGTAGGACCTCCAGAAGTATGCGCACCAAGATGGCGCACAACCTGAACATAGTATGTGTGTACCGGTTAGGATTTAGGTTGTGTGACATCTTGGTGCGCATATTTCTGGAGCACCGCAAAGTAAATATTTCTTTTTGATTCTTAGACTAATGGAAATAAATTTCTGGCATATTACTTTTCCTGGGAGATTAAACAGTGAAAGAAGCATTATCTGGGCTGACAATTAAAGTCAAAATTATATGCAACTCTCAATAATCCAAGATAAGTTAAACTAAACAGAACAACTGATGAGCCATTCCAAATTCTGTATTTACAAAGTTGCGTAATTGATGGAAAATCAAATACATCTCTATATAAGGTAAATACAACAATATATGGCCACATTGAAACTAAATGACCAATGCCACATTTCCCTGAAATGGATCTTTTGATCTTCCGTCATTATGTCCCAATATTGGTTTCAAAGGAATTTACCTTTGACTTTAGGGTTGTGTCTTTTGTTCATATTCAGGTTTGGTTGTTAGAACCAAACTACAACAACAATGCGATTTTATCAAAATTTTAAATTGTGACATACGGTAACCTATGGTAATTTGGTTCTACAGGTGCAATATAGTCATAAACTGGAACAATGCAAAATAATTTTCTACAATGATCAGCGATTTCTATAGGCAACGAAGAAGTGAAATTTTCACAGGAAACCGGATGACAAACTGAAACTGAAATTTACATGTCACTTGGCATTGAATGATTAAGTACAAGTCAGACATACAATAAACAATATAGGTTCTCAAAGTGCTCCATATGGAGCCCCAGGACTCCTCAGAGTATCCTAGTATCAGAGTATCCTAGGTGCACTGTGAGCTATTCGTTTACTCATTAAAATACTGGATTGGCTAATTTTGTTCAAAGAAGTAATAACAGCATTATTACAATTTGACAATGGTAACATTGAAATGTGGCAACAAGGCGGTAATTCAAATATGACATTATCTATAAGTTCCAATAGATAATGCCATAATTCAATTACCGGTACCACAATTTGAATATTTTTTAAATACAAAGCAGCAAATAAATACACCCGAGTCATCAAATAAAGTAATTTTAATATACTCAGATACATTAATCGATAAGTATAGATGTCTTTTTTTGTTTTTAATTTTATAAATGTACTGAGGGGATCCGTAAATAATAGTCAACGTCCTTACGGTCTCCATAACACCAAAAGTTTGTGAACTCCTGCATTTGACAATATTTTCCAATAACAAATACCTTGTTTCTATGTAACAATATAACAAAATAACAACAATGGTTCATTTTTCAATGTAAGGAATTTCCAAGAGAAGGTCACAAACTATTCAAAATATTCCGCAGGAAATTCGTAACATTTTGCACTATGATATATACACAAAGATGATGACAGAGAATTTTTTTTACTTTCATCTGCATTTGTAAAAAATCCATTTGCGAAAATAAAACTGCATGTTCATACAAATTTACCAAGGCATTGCATATCACACTAAACAAATTTATGCCTATCTTGTTTAAATACTCAATTCAAATATATTCCGCCCACATCCGCCAATCCCAATTTAACATTTCAGTTCGAATGAAGTCAATTAGAAAATAAGACAAACAAAATTTCGCAATCCACCTACTACAAGAATCTCCATATTAAAAGTCACAATACTTTCATAAATGAATCTAAGGCATGTATGGGGTATTATCAATGAATATAAAAACAATGCTCCAATTAAGCCAGGATTATATTTGGCTCATGTTTGTTTAAATATATTTCCTGCATATACGAGTACTTATTACATACTATTGTTTTTGTGATTATAATCTCACAATGGCATCAAAAACTATAACAATATTACTAATGAGTGTTTAGAGTATATTTCTTTTAATAAATATATTGAAATACCGGAGAATAGATTCAGATCAGATCAGAAATATCAGCAGATGCTATGTCAATAAATAGACAATTTTGAATACATACATAAATCTTTATTTTAGATACTGAAACCAGTAACCTGGCCCGATCTAACTATATGCTATTTATTTATTTGTTGATGACTAAACTTCAGACATGCTTTTGTTTACAGTAATATGAGGAACCGAAACTGAAAGTGCTGACTGAAACAAGACATGACAAGTTAAAAGTCTTAAGTAAATGCGTAGGAAACAATGAACTACAATGCATGATCGCAGAATGTACTTTCAAAATTTAGATCTTGTCATAAATAAAACAGGAACTTCTAATAGAAATCCAATACACCAGAAGCCTTGCATGAACTCACCCGATACTTTACTGGTGATGAAATCAAAATTGTATCATTCAGAGATATCAGATGACCAAATTAAATGGTCTAACCAATATATATATATATTCGAATATCACACAATCTCCGAATATAGTTTTTATTGATTATTAAAATATTGAATTTCATTCTAATACAAATAAAAAACTAAATAATTTTATTTGCATTTATTAATTCTCTATTCTTACCAAGAAGCAAGAAGCATAATTCAACCATCAATTCCAATCATATAACACATACCATTCATTTTACTTATATCTACTTTACTATTATGATACTATTAACGATTAGTATTTCACATGCCACAATTATCAATATTTCCATTTATATATCTATTCTATTTATAGTAGAGTTATTAAATATCAAGAAGTATTTTAAGGAGTTTGAGGAAGTGAACAAAATTCAAGTTTTGTGGGATTTTAGAATGAATCTGGAATTGTCCAGTATTCGGTATGGCCATCCTTTGCATTTGACATTCTGATTATTCATTATTCAAATTTACATTTAACAATACAGCTTGCGATTTGTGTTAATCAACTTATATTCTAAATATTCCACATTAGCGAGCACTTCATTAAATAGCATCTGCTCTTATAAAAAACAATCATAGAGCATTTTACATAAAATATGATTTTACAGAAATGAAAATAAAATTTATAAAACAGTCAACACTATTTCTGCACTAAGTGAATTGTTTGTTATTGAAAAAGTATATCCAACTATCCCAGCTGAAAAACGAGTTTTTATTCAAAATTAATTAAAAATTATTTACCAAATTATTATTCTTCTCTGGTAATTTTATTTGCTCCTCCACTTTTTCTTCTACATTTGCAGTTTTAGGTTGTTCTTCTGTGTACACCAGTTTATCATCAGTCAATACAAAGTAATGAAGATTCCATTCCTTTAGAAATAATAATACAAGTTCTGATACAATTTTACAATATTACTGATGTAAAATACGAATCATGATTGATGCATTAGAATGGTGAATATTTTGATTTTAACAATTGTGTATGTAAAGAAAACACCACAAACATTATTCGATTTTATTATTTCGATCTTTTATTAAAATTGCATTCTCTCATCAAAGTGAAGCGTAAGATTACCTTGAAAGTTGGATCTTCCAAATACATAAGGCCGTTCTTTATTGAATTGCTAATGTCCATAGTGTCCATTCCTTGAATGTAAACAATATATGGTAAAAATGACAGACACTTTAAATATTATTGAGAATAACTATTATAATATATTCTTTTGAAAATTTTCTACGCTCATCTGTTACTAATATTTAATTTTTACAACAAAAAACAACACCAAAAAGAAGATTAAAATAAAAAAAATCACATCTCAATTCTCAAATAGAAAGCATACTCCATAAAATTTTGAAGCTACACTAGAAAATCGAAGAAAATTATAGGCTGAGCATACAAGTTGATATCTACCTGAATCCGTATCACCACCCCAAACTTCACTGAGTCTGTTTGCATCTGCCAGTTTCTTATGCTGTAGATAGAGAATGAAAATAAAGTGATTATTAACGGCATAATAATTAACTAGGGACTAAGACATCTAGTTAGTATAAATAGGATTAAAAGTTATATATATACTATAAAATAAGGTCATAGATATATATTACATATTTAAAAATTTAATCTTAAATTACAGCAAGATGCCCTAGTAATGAAAACAAACTTCCAATATATTCAAAACTGATATTTGATAAATAAATATAATTATGATATTACGAAGAATTTCAAATATTTTACTTTGAAAATTGTTTTTTTAGAATTTTAGGGCATTGTCTATCTTTTGGGCATTGATGATCGACAAAAAATAATAATGCAGAATAATGTGACAGATTGAACTGACACAATTTAGAATATATCCAATATTCCATATTAAAAAATATTATGTTAGAATGTATTCTGAATGGTAAATCATTCAATTTTTGCCATCCTTGTGTGACAGTGCCACCTTATTTCAACATGGTATATAAAATATTAATTCATAAAATGACAATGTCTAATTAATAAATACCTTGATAATAATTTTACCCCTCAATTGTTTTGGAGATGGAAGCCATTTGTCATCCTTATCAATTGGTTGTTTCAAAAGCATATCTAAAAAATTTATCATAAAATATTTCAAAAATGATATTAACACTACAAAAGCTATCAGTGAATGTAATACAAATTCAATAGCCAAGCTAAAAAATATGAGAAATTCTAAAATGAAAAAAAAAAAATTATTTACGACCTTCAGGTGTGTATATAGTCACAACATAAAAGGCAGATGATTACCAGAAATAATTAATTATAAGCAAAATAGCATGAAAAATTCACCAATATCCTAATTTTATGTCAACTGTAGTTTTGTTATTTGTGATGTTATTTTAACATATCAACTTATTATTATAAAACTCACCTCCAAAAACATCAACAAACATAGTAGCCATATGTCTTTGCTGTGGTAGTTTACAATGATTTTCAATTGATAATATCACAGGCAGGCTGAAAATTGAAAGAAATTTAAATCATATAACCGTAAATACAACTCGTAATTATAAGCGACTACTTGCAGACTAAATTTTTTTTTAAATATTGTGTATTATATGACTTGGTTTGAGCGTCAATTAAGGAGCATAAAGAAACGATATCGATCCATGACCCAAGCCCTGAGGTACACCAAGTCTCAGGATGTAAAATAAAAATTCAAACTTACTCTGACACCACAAATGCGTGTTTCTTTATTGTTTTCAACACTTCACAAAACTGAATTTTAGTTGTCAATGTATGTCCGTGATAGATACATGGCATTCCATTAGCACCGTCCCAGCAATCCACTGGAATTAAGTAAAACATTATTCAGTATTTTCTTTGTCTTTATTTGGTGTTATCTTGTTGGCAGAACACTATTGTGAGTCAGCATTTCCAAATAAGTTGTTTGGTTGTAACTTACTAACACCAATTTAATGACAAATGGTGAGCGAATAACATCTTATATAATAGGTGCCGTGGCTAAAGTTTTAGAATTATTTATGATGGAAGGTTAAAATCTCAGATTCAAGCAAAATACTTTGAATATGACATATAAATAAATTAATAACTGTCTTACATTCAATACACCTGCATCCCATTCTCAAGCATCTTGCATAAGCTTCACACGAAGATTCACTTTTAAGTTGATCACCAGTCAAGTATCTGATAGAAAATTAACACTTAAAACACCTTATCACAAATTTCGTTTGTAAGAAATAAGACTACGAACGTGTTGTGTGATGATGATATCCAGTACTGTGACATTGGTTTATCCAAACTGTCCTCATCAAGCTGTAATTTATTCTCATCCCAAAGTGAATTTTCTTTACTAAATAAATATGCCACCATCTAAAAATTTGACATCAATTTAACATTAGGTGGAATCAAGATATATAAAACAATAATTCAATTTTACTTGTTAAATAAAATAGCCACCCTGAAATGTTGAAGTGAATAAATTACATTCTGTGCAATGATGAAATGATTTTTGTTTCAAAGTTAGCAGAAAAAGAGATAAATCGAACTGTGATCAAGCAGTCACTAATAATTGTTGTAAAATTGACATTTCCACAGAAGTAATTACATAGTCATAATCTGATCCGAAGGCAGCTCAATAGTCCTCTATATTAAATACTATTCAATACTGATGGAGAGTGGCATATCATATTCTCCCCTATTCCTAACTGTCAATATGATAATTTACATACTTCCAAGGACCAAGCTCATGAATAAGCTAGGTCAAGTCAAATTGTAATAATGCATCGAACCTAAGAATTTGCATTTTGGTTCGTTTTTTTTCTTCATAACTACAGCAAATTATTGAATTTGCATGTAACATTTGAAAATCACTCTTCGGAAATGTCCTTTGTCAAGAATTTTGGAAAGGATAATTATTATTAATTTATTTTTGTCATTCACATTAGTTTCTGACACAATGATACCATCATCATACAAGTTTTATAGAACGAGAAAACTCGGTAAATCAGTAATTGTTGTAACAGTAATATATCAGGTGGAATATACCTCAGATTTATCGAAGTCTTGCGATTCACCAAAATAGTTCCTCATAAACTTCTTAACTTCTGCTAAATCTTTTGCCCACGTTTCCTGTAATAAATACAAGATGAATGTCAGATGTGTCACATATCCTAGATAAACCAGAACATCTTTCCTAATGAAAATTAAGATTGATTGACTAAGTATGTGGGCTGGACAACATGAATATTATACACTGGAGGATGTTAATTTGACTAATTTATTTAATAATAGACATCAGTCAAAAATAAACAGAGCATTCAGAATTTTGAATCCTTGATTTTGGTAACAATAATGCATAGTTACATTTGAAAAATTATAATCTTTAGCAATTGAAGTCCCACAATAGAAACTAGAAGGCTTTCATTTATTTACTGAAACCTATACATAGAACTGATCAAATGATCGTTTATTTTTACATTGTTGTTGGGCATTGACCCAATTCAGAACATATTTTATATTAGCCTACATATTCATAGATGATATTTTAGAATGTATTTGAAATAGTGGATTATTCAGTTTCGGCCACCACAAAGTCAACACTGTATAAACTTACTTATATTGTAAATAAAAACACAATTACATTTACAAAAGAAATCATGTAAATTATAATCTGTATTGAAACGGTTTTCCTCGTAATAAATGTTAATCGTGATCATTTTTACAACAACATACTTTTTCGGACATTTAAATAATTACAAAGTAGCTTAAGGTGTTTTGGATCATAAGTCAGCTTGTAGTAGTAGGTTATGGTAAAGTGTGCATTCGTCTATCATTATATGCATATCCAATTATTAGGTATCATGCATAACTTGTAGGTTACCGGTACTTAATAAGTTTACAGAAGAGGTATATTATATCATGTCCTAATCAAAACGTTTTTAAACTAATGCGTCAATAACTAAACAAGAGTACTTCAAGTGTTTGTATAAATACCCATTGAAACATGAACCATATTGAAAATAGAAATTTTGTCTAGACATGTTCAATTCAAACATGAAAAGTATAAAAGGGCAACAGTCCTTGGAAAAGAATGTAAATTTGTTATGAATATATTTGTTAGCTATAAATATGGATAAGCAACATGTATCTGATTTTCAAATCTTATTTCATGCAGATAAGCTGTCTAATATATGTCATCTTGGAATTAAATCAGTATCAACCATACTATTCTAGACCTGAGGCTCTATCGGTTATATGTCAATATTAATTAACAGATAAACCATACTATCTTTTTAGAAGTTGGATATGATTTGAAAAGTTTCAAATTTGTATTTAATAATACTAAAATTATGTTCCTCACATTTCAGTGGTTACTTTTACACTTCATTTTTAAAAGCAAAAATATCAATTTATTCCATGAAAATTTGTAGAGAAGAATCATCAAACCAGAAATATTTCTACAAATGGTGTCTGGTTGAATTCAATGCATTATAAATTATTGCTCATGTGTGATAATTTAATCATAATTTATCATTTTGTGGCGATAAGAATTCAAAATCTGTAAAGTATCGTATTAGTTTTGGAGGATATTGGTATGGAAAATGCAAGCCAGGTTTTGCTGCTTAGTCAATTCTGAATGTGATAATAGATTAATAGAATGCCATTCTTGCTAAGCGTGGCGTATGTATATACCAGGCTTTATAAATAACAGAATGATTCATTAGCAGTCCATCCAAATATAGGAAAATCCTTACATATTTCAAAATATCATTATCAAAATAATTTATATAAAGCAAAGGTTATATTGTACCACACATTCTGTATACTCAGTAACCGATGATGCACACACTTATCAAAAATACAAAACGTTGCAAACACCCGATCTCAGAAGTAACAAGGAAGTGAACAGGAGAAGTATGAGTAGATGTTGTAGTGAAATATTGATGACTCATGTTACATAGTACAGTCATCATAATATTCAGGAATTGATGTTAATAAAGGGAACATTTATGAGGTAACAGGTAATGGTAAGAAAGGCACCTGGTATTTAAATTTAATAATGAATAAAAATGGCAATTCCATACTTAACCAGATGATACTGATATTGACATTGATAGAATAACACAGAGCCATAAATTTATCAAAGTATTTAAATTTAATAATGAATAAAAATGGCAATTCCATACTTAACCAGATGATACTAATATTGACATTGATAGAATAACACAGAGCCATAAATTTATCAAAGTACTTCAAAGTACTTTATCAAAGTTCTAATAACACAATTTTCGCAATAACTTAAGTTGATTAAATATCAGTAATCTAAATTTGTTACAGGGATATTCCGAAAAGCAGCTAAAAATGACCTAAAACTTGATGGACCCATGGTAATAAATACTCTATTTTCTTCTCTTTTTACAGTTAAATGAAGTTCTCTTATCTTGAAAAGTAAAATTAAACCAAGATGAAAATTAGAAGTTGATATAATTTTGTAACATAGCAGCAGTCCTCAAAAATATATCTCTTTGAATATATCTCTATATTTCAACAAAGGAATAAAATAAAAATCAACAAGAAACAAATATCGCTAGCATCTCATATTTGAGGGAGATGACAATTGAATGCTTATGTATATTTAACAAACCACAACCTCTAATCTAGTTATCTAGATGTACGAGGTTAGATAAACAAATCTAGTCATTCATTATTTATTCATTCCCGGGTAATGGATCGAATAAAAACCAAAATTTATATTTCTCACCAATCTAAAGCTAAGTAATGAAAGCAGAATTGAATTTATAAATTGAATAACTATATCTTACTTTTTGTTCTTTCAGAAGAAACCTTTGGAAATCATGAGGATTGAATCTTATTCTAAAAAAATAATCCTGTTGTTAATTTTATTTTATTCAGATTTAAAACAAGCTTTCACTGTACTATTGACAGTAAAAATACATAATATGGCATTATTTCATTCAGCAACAACGAGGATGACAATTATTAACATTTCCCAAGCGGGCCAAAAGATTTCAGGTCTCCTGCTTATTGCAGGGTTTTTCAGATAGGAGTTATTATTTTTCTATGTATACTACCGTAATAATGATAATTGATATCATACTTGTCAGAAGAGAATTCTAAGACATAGGCAGACACATCTGCTTGACCTCGAAGCATCATCATGTAATAAAACTGAAGAAACTTGTCAAATCCAACAAGATCCTTACTTCGAGAATCAACTTCCTAAAAAATAGAATGTGAAATTGAAAAAAATCGAGTGCAGATGTTGTCTATGACAATCGAGGCTAGAATACAAGAAGTAAAAAAATGGAATGGCCAGAGATGGATAGCCTAGCTTTTGTTTGCGTCTTAGTATATGGAATAACAAACATACTGTATTCATAATTGAGTCACAATCACGACTTAAAATTGCAAAAATCTTATTTACTGCGATTTTCTTGGATTTCCAATTATATTAGCAATTGAATTTTCATCTGCCTTAACTAATGCAAAGTTTATCTCTTAAAACATCAAATTTACAAATAAAAATTTTCTAAATTAATCTTGAATAAAATAATTTACTATGTTCAGTATGATTAATGCATCGTGCATGTATGCAAATATTTGATTAATTTTGGGCATTCTTGGTAATAAAATCATATTAAAGGTTATTAATAAATAAGAACAATATTCCTTTTGAACATACTTGAAATAATTCCTTCAGAACTTTTGTAGCAGGAGGTTTTGCATTTATGTTTGGCAGCCATGTTCTTGTTGCCTGAAGACTTATCCTTAAGTTAAAATACACATTCAAGACCTTAATAAAATGTATCAAAATGATCTCAATTACATGAAATATACAATATTGAAATTCATTTTTAATTCAAATGAAAGAAACATAATATACAAGTGAAGTTACGCAAAGTTACAAAAACCACTGATTAAAATCATAATTGAAGTAACATTAAACTCACGATTCCTTTTTTGAAATCCTATCGTACTCATTTCGAAGCCATCTGAAAAAAAATGTGAAACGTTAAAAAAATACATTCAAAATTATTGCTTTGAACTCATATCAGGTAACTTGGATTCCAGTAACATCAAGAATATTATGATATAAAACATTATTGATAGAATTATGTATTTAAAACATTTCACAGAACTTTCATATTGAAGTGTTTATGAAATCATGAGATTTCATTGATATCAAGAAGAGTTCAAAGTGGTCATTATAAATAATGCATAAAAAAAAATATTTGCAGTAATATTGGTTCCAGAAAATACCAAATCAATAATGTTACCTACAAATATAAAAAAAATAAAATAATTATGCATAAATTAGTAAAGATCCCTGTAACTGCTTCTTTGACAACTCAAGTCTCTTTCTTTTATCAATAAATTTAAAGTATTATAGTTTTCTTCGGTGAGAACAGTAGCCTAATTTTAAATCATTTAGTAAATTTCCCAAGTTATTAATATTATTGAAATGATTTTGTAAATTTGATGGAAAAAGTAACAGTATTGCAAATATTTTTATTATTATTTGTGAATGCAGAAAATTAAAACTACTGTGAACACTTTTGTTACATATACGACATAGGTATAAATAAATTGTCAGTAATTTTGGAATTATTGATCAACCTATTATTTTTATATCATTCATAGATGATTAAAACGTAATCCGTCAAAAATGCAATAATTTATAGCATAAAGTTAGTCTAGAATATTTACCTACCATGTAATTGTTTGTCTACTAACCTAAAAATAGGAAAAATATAAGTAGGCAACATACCTTCTTATTTGTAAACAATAGGATGATTGCAGAGTATCCATAACCAAGTAACTCAGTCCTCTCATCCAAACATCAATGTCATCTGGATTTTGTGCTAAAATTAACAAATACATGATTTAAATTGTGTAGAAAGCAATTACAATAAAATTTGTGCTAAACCTGACAAAAAAATATATAACATAACAACTTAGATTGGATTGGATTTTTGGCTGTTAAATGTTTCGTATAAATTTAATTCAGATAAATCAAATTATTCTTTATCCATAAAAATTTGCAATTTTCGCAGATGAGAAAAGGACCAAGTTATCACGCTTTTGCCATAACACAGACAAATTTAGGATATTCGAAACCATCAGTAATTACAAGACAAAATCTATATGGGGAATCGCTATTAAAAACTTTATTTAGAAGTATAAATCAATCTTATAGTCACTAGTCAATGGTTTTCTGTGATGACTGATTACCCTTCAGATTTCGAAACCAACTTGCCACGAATCCATCAGCTATATATAAAAAATTGCATGGTAATCTGACTTAGAGATTTGCGAGAAAACTTTGACCTGGTATCTCATAAAATATTTACTCGAATCTCACTTAATTCCTATCGTTAAAATCTTGGATAAAATGTACACGGTCAATCCCATATGATCAAAAATGGTCAATCAATGAAACGAGTCATTAATAAGATACAATTTATCTATAGCTAACTATTGAGAAAGGAAAGCAATGAAAGGCATAAAAAACCAGTACATGATGAATGGAAATTTTGTGAAATTCAATTCCCTTTTCATTTGCCAACATTAAATAGTAAAATAATCAAGACGACATGAGAATCATTGAAAAACAAACCTGCAATCGACATTATTTTCAAATTAAATTCTTGTCCATACAAAACAGTAAAACACAATGTTGGATCTATACGACGAGATTCATCTTGAAGTCGTTCAAAATCGACAGATTCTTTTCCTTGTCTGATTTCTTTGATCTCTCGAATATCAACTGGAAAGATATATTGGATGTATTCAGTATTATGTAACATATAAATATTGAGCTAAAAAATACTTGAATTGAAATATAAATTACAAACTAGCAGTGGGCATTTTCAAATAATAAGTAGGCGAGTGAATATAGATACATCTTTACTAAATGTACGAACGATTTTCTTTAAGGAAATGCAATTGCTAAATTACCTGCAAGTATTATGAATAATTTCTGTTTATATTAGACTTACAGAAGTCTATAAAGAACAAGGACATGGATATTGCGCATTGTAGGCAAAACTTGCTCATTTTAATTTCTTTTATGAAATGCTTATTCAATGTGAATATAGTTACAAATTTGCAATGAGAAGAAATTTTGCACTGTAGTTGTCAATACAGTCCATTTTCAATTGATTCAAGTGTTATATATTGATGTGATTTCAAAACAAAAAAGAACTGTCTGCTATCATGAATGTCACGACGATACATGTGGATATATGATTGATGAGCCCGGCCAAAATTTAACATCATAAAATCTCCCCGAGTTAAATTGTCACTTAGCAACAAAATCAAAAATCAAAAATTTTTGTAATTAATATCATTTTTCTGTGCAGTAGTCCTAATTTAAATGAATGAAATCAAGACACCACTAGTGACATCCTGCCTTAAAATCTGCATAATTACGGGGAAAATTAATAGAATTTGGTGCAAACAATAACAAATTTTCACTATAGCAACAGTTTAATAGCAATTATAATTGAATACCAGAATGTACCACATGACAGCCATTTGTCACAACATTCATTAATAATTCAGTAGAATTGAAAATGGAATGGATTTTACGCCAAATCCAATGGAAATACTCCAAAACAAGTTTAAACAACAACCATTTATTGTCATGTGTTTGGTATTGTCTGCGGAGATGGCCAATACAGAATAGCTCATTATTTCGAAAACATTTGAAATTATTATTTTCGAATATGAAATTTCGAATACATTCAAAAATAAAATCCAGTAAAAGCAGCTTATCTATAGTGTGTGAAAGAATATTCATACAATAAACAATGAAATAACTGTCATCTACAACCTGGCTATATTACCAGGTATTTCATGTTCGCATTATCTAATTTAGTTGCCAAAAAGCAGGATAAAGGGTATGCTATACTATATTATCTTTTAACTTGTGACAATTTTTTCATGAGTACGAAAATACAAATCAAAAATTGATTATATTCCGGCATTTCACCACACATTTTAATAAGTCCGCAGATCGCCGTTGTATTTTGGAGTAATAATACTTTTATCGGCCTAGAAAAAAATTCAGTTCATATAAAATGTAAATAGGCCTATACTTTGTGATGATGTAGCAAAATATTGTCTTACTTTGTTTTAACAATTACAAATACCTAAATAAAAAGAGCGCAATGCTCGAATATATGGACACAAACGTCAAGTAACTTATTTGTCACCAGCTAAATCCCAGCCAAATTTCAGTACCAGTGGGACTTATAGAAAAGTAATGCCTGCTTGCAACTTGTCATTTTAAAATACTGAAAATTGCAAAGAAAAGCGATTTTTCACAACAACAACAATGCCAAAAGAACAGCAACAACAATTTAGAAACACAATCCAAAATTACAATTAGTGCCTAATAATACAAAACCATATAGTATATTTTAATTTAATAATGTAAAAGAAGATGTCAAATTAGTTCAATACTGACTAATGTAACCTTTCTAGTTGGAAAATGACAGAATTTTTGAAAGCACAGAGTGTTACAGATTTCAAGTGCTATAAAGATTGAAATATTTTTGGCAGTTGAAAATTATTTTTATCCTCTTCGCATAACTATTAACTGAATATTTACATAATTAAACTTACTTGATCCATCTACGAGAGACTGCTGTTTAATCCACATTAGTTGCCGCGTACTAAGATTAACTTGAAAAGTACGTTCTTCACTTTTTCCCTTTTTTGTAGTACCAGAAAATTTTTTCATAACATTCCCCATTTCAAGTCTTTTTAATATTCCATTACGTTCACCATCGTCTTTGAATTCTGGTACAACAATGCCACGAAACATTGTTGGCTTTTTAGACGCCACTTTCTTGGAAAAGGACATGGTTGCACTGCAAAAATTCCAGGATATTGTACAACTAAGTTATGCAAATTACAGAATTATTGGATAATTCCTTTAGTATTCCACATTAACAGTTATTCAAATGACAGTACCATACTTTACATCTTAAAACTACATTTAGGCCTATCTGCAAAATATATCTCAGAATTAAAATTATTTGTAGCCGTATAAATATTGAAAAATGTAAAATGGCTAAAACTAGTGAATAAGAGCTGAAGAGCCAGTTGTTATACATTTGGATCCCCGGTTATACTGTATTACAACTACCGCCTGACCGTGGTCGCAGTCGCTACCTACACTACTGCAATCAATTCCCCATGTATTCCACATACACCTACATATTGCCAGGAACGTAGGCAAATAATGCAATGGCGCTGCAGGCGACCAAGATCACTGCGCAGAACCTATTTTTTTCATGACATGGTAAATAAACTAAAATGAATTGTGAAGCGAGAAATCAGATTCGATGGACACTGACCTGATTTTGTGGGATTACTTTAATAGTCATGGTAAATCAAAATAAACTTATACAGATTTACATTTGTATTGGTGTGCAGCAAGACTCTTGAATCAAATGGTAATCTTATTCTTATAAGAGGTTCGGTGTTTTCGCTCCATGTTATTCCCTCAAAAAATATCACTTCCTTTCATAATTATTAATTATCATAATCATGCAGCGTTTTATGCGAAAAAGTTAATGGCGTATTGGTATTTCCCATCCTCGTTCAAGTATCTTCGTATTATCGTTCTTGGTTACTTAATTTTTATCGCGGTATCACGCCTCTGAAGAATTATTTCATGTCTAACGATTGGTGAAGTACCGTGTCACATTTTTCTCATCAGTCAAATGTAATTTTCAGCTAAACTGTATTTTTGTTCGTGAGGTATCCTCGGATTGTCTGTCACGTGAATCTCAGTGTCTTTCAATTCAATATTTCTCCTTGATAAATTTATTTATGCTATTCACCGGTATAATTTTTTCACTCTGCAGACGCTTGTAAAATCTATGAAACGATGATCAAATATGGTGACGCGCAGATCAAATGACTACGCCAAAGCCCTCACATTTTCACAAGTTCTATACATTTTGACATACTGATACTGCGAACGTGAGCAAAATGTTTCTGCCAGGGCTGTCACATTTTTCTGAATAAAAACATCTAGTTTAACCTCATCTAATAAACAACTGAAAATATCTAGATTGGAAAACAAAACATCCAAAAAATGTTACTAAATTTAATAATAATAAAAATAAACAAAACAAAAGAGTACACATAGTTCATTATATTACATCATAGTAGACTTCGAAGATCCTTTGAAGTTGATGTTGTTGCTACAGTTGCTTCAGAAGGATTCTTATATGTTTCTGCTGTACAAATTTTTTTGAATTCGAAACAGGTTCCTTATATGACGTGAAAATTTGTTTATTTCTATTGGGTTGAATTTAATGATAACTAGTATTGCATTCAGTGAATCTGTCTTCCTGCTGTTTCCTAATTTGTGTTTTCACAGTTTATTGCACTGAATTTTTCTCTACATCAGCATTTAAATGATGTAGTTGCATTGCTAGCTTTCTGCCCTGCCGATAATGTTTTTAGGATAGCTATCAAAAATTACAGCTGACAGAATGTATGTGATATCAGGCATATGATTGTAGTTTTATTAACCGTACATCTAATTCTAAATACTATTAGTTTAACAATTATACACATCGCTTTTTTTATTTCCCACTGGATAATATTCAGAACGTGGAAAACAAATATCTAGATTTTATAGCTAACATCTAGACTTCAAGTTTGTAGATTTAGATCAGACATGTCCAAATCCGGCCCGTTGGGTAATTTAATCTGGCCCGCCCGATGCTGTCACAACCAAACTGAAATCAAAATTTTGATGTTTTAGCTAAAAATAGCTCATGGAATTTGTTGAGATTACGGTTGAATTTGGTTTTGGCAAGAGGCATATTGTTTTCCATCTTTGCTTTGTAACTGAATTAGATATTATTATGCGCTAAATGTCATTTTAATTTAGCGCATTGGGTTAGTCGGTTGTGCGCTGATCAAAGATGCCAGTCGGTCTCGAGACGGAGCATGACTATGAGGGACACAGGGTTTCATGTGGTCATAAGCGAGTAGACAAGCATGACTAGAAGTAAAAAACAGAGTGTGAGACAAGCATTACAGGGGTGGGCAAAGGAGTACAAGTATAATATGAGCAGGAATATGTGAGACAACTGGGAGAAGTTTGAGTTGAAATTTGAGAAGCAGAACAGTGTTGGACATACATGGCGAGTCTGAACAAGCGTGATCTGAGCAGGACAAGTGTGACCCAAGCAAGACAAGTTTTGGTCATAAGGGACAAGTCTAAAAAGGTAGCACAATTTTGGCCAAGACAGGACAAATGTGAGAAAATCGGATCAATTAGGAGACGAGAAGCTCAAATGTAGTTATTTGACAACTGTGTGACAGGCCGAAAAAGTGTTTGACTAACAGAACGACAAGCAGGACAAGTGTGAAACAACATGGAAAAGTTCAAAGCAAGGAGGACAATGTTGGACATACATGAAAGGTCAGAGACAAGTGACACAATTGCGGGACAATAAGCACAACTATAAAATGGGCAGGACAATGTGTGTCAATATGGACAGGTGTGGGCGACAGCATAACAAGTCTGAGACAAACAGCATAAGTGTTGGATTAGCATGACAAATGTGAGTCAAGCGAGACAAGTGTGGGACAAGTAGGACAAATGTCAGAGTGCGAAAAAAGCAGAGAAAAGTTTGACACAATCAGGAAAAGTGTTGGACATAGCCTACAACATAACAAGTCTGGGACTAGTACCACAAGTGTGGAAGAGTGCAAGTGTGAGACAAACATGAAAACTGTGAGAGAAGCAGGACAAGTGTGAGATGTGTTAGACTAGCTAGCATATGACAAATGTGGTAACAGCAGACCAAGTGTGGCAGAAGAAATTCAAATGTTGGACTACAACGATAAGTGTAAGATAAGCAGGCAATGTTTTTGACAAACACGACAAGTGTGTGAAAAGCATGACAAATGTTGTACAATCAGGAAATATGTGGATCATACAAGTGTACGACAAGCAGAACCAGTGAGAGACAACCAGAAAAAAGTTAGGACAAGCAAAAGTTTGAGACAAGTAGCGTAATTGTGAGAAAAGCAAAAAAGTGTGGAAAACGCGGAATGTTTTGAGACCAGCACGACATGTGTTGGACATACAGGACAAGTCTGAAAAAGTAGCACAATTGTATGCCCCCCTCCCCCCAATTTTCGAGAATTCCATTCTTAATCCACCAGTTTTGTGGCAATCTTGTCTCGTCACGCTTGCTGATTGTCATGTCACAAAGACTTGACCGTTCGCTCTTATGAGCAGTTTGGGAAAGACTGTTTCGTTAGCTTTCGGTCAGTTACTCGGTCTTGATTTGTTCTCGCCGGTTTCATATTCGAAACGCTTGTATTTTGATGACCAAATTACTTCGATGGCTAAATTTAAACAGGCGAAATTCGATAGTTTTTTTCAGCGAAATAAAGAGTCGCTTTCCTCAAAAACATCAATAAGCGCTACTCAGGCTGTGGATGCACCGGTTACGTCTATCACTTCTATTCCCGAAGATAAACTAATATTCAAAGGAGGGAAAACAAACGATCTTGGATTTATTCTTAAGAAACATACGCAGCTTACCGATACAGAGAGATACGGGCTTCTAACTTCGGATGGTCCGAAAAACGTGACGATTCTGGATACCGTTAGACAAAGTCGTCGTAAATTTCTCAAAAAATGGCTTGACGATGACAGATTTTGCAGTTGGTTAGTTTACACCCAACTCTCTGATGAGGGTGGTTTGTGTAAGATATGCATCGTCATGCAAGCACGTTTGAAGCATGGAACTCTCAGGGACATTGCTTTTGTTACAAGACCATGCATTGACTACAAAAAAATTATGGAAAAGGCTTTAGCCCACCGACACATAAATTACCACCAAGAATCAACTATAGCTGCAAAGTTTTTTGTCAAAAGCATGGAAACTGGTCAAAATGTGCGTGCAAGCATGGAGGCCCAATATGCTATGCAAACAAAAGAAAACAGACGATATAATGACTTCCATTGTCCAGACTGTCATGTTCTGTGCTTCGGGTAACATACCCTTGCGCGGACATTCCGGGAACAGTGGAAATTTCGTGAACCTTCTTCTATTTCGTATCGACGCAGGGGATGAAGATTTGAAAAGGCATTTCGCTCGAATGGCCGGAAACGCCAAGTATACAAGCCCGATGATCAGTGATGAGCTGGAAAGATCGTAACAACCGGAACGCACCAAATTCGTGAAAATGTAATATATATATATTTACAACACGACGCTACCAGTAATTTTGTCTGTCGTAAGATAGAGCCGAAGAACTACAATGAAATATGAAAAAATTATCTGAAATATGACTGTTTAAAATTGAAAGAATATTCATACTAATTCAATACAAATGTTATTATTAGATAGATATTCACGGGGGTCAAAGGTCGGCGAAACATCCTTTCACGTTACTGCTGTGCACAAATTATTTGCCAGCTGTAATGTAAAAAGAATTATGATGCAACAAAACATCAATTAACTGAAAACTAACGAATAGAATTCAAAATCCTGGTGATCCAGTGATACCTGAAACTCAGTTATTTAGTTATGTTTACATTTCAGATTAAGATTGTTTTCACATTAAGTTTATCATCGAATGCACGTCCTACCTTGACATATGTTTTATTCAATAGCCTGTTCCAATGGACCTTTCCCCGACCTTTGACCTTTATTGTTTTGATTTTGGTCAGATTCAGATATTTTATTTCCGTCGTGCATGAAATATTGTAGCGACACAAGTAATAAGAAAAAAAAAATGCTAACAAAAAGATCAATTGAAATAGAAAGGCACACAATATTTCCGCAATTGACGCGGGGCCGCGAAAGACTACCGGAGTCATCGTGTCAGCGACACCGTGTTTGCTGAGTTCAACAGCAGATGACGTCAAATAAAATCAACTAATTATTCTTTAACAAAAATGGGAATACAATTTGGCAAAATAATATCGAGAGAGTCAAGAGATTACTGATTATAGTAACT